CTAAATCTAGTGATTGTAATGGAGTTGTTAACACCGTAGAACAAATTCGGGAAAAAAATAATGAAATCTTGACCTCATACATCAAATAATGAAATATGTATCACCCTGAATCTTCTTCGCGATAAAGGAATCTTTCGAAATAGAACTTATCTTCAATAGTATAGCGAGAGTAAAATTTTATTTTGTTTACAACAAAGGATATCCCATATGTCATGCTGTACTCGCGATTTCATCTGAACTAAGACCGTGTCGTAAAATAAATAGACCCTTTCTTTGTAGCGCATCAATCCCTGGCCATGAAAAAAGAATAGACATAAAAGATATGCCTTTTGTAGCGTATCCGATCTTTGGGAATCTTTACTTCCTTTCTTTGACATCGCTATAAGATTATGAGGATGTAGCGCCAAATTTCAATGTGGCTTTATTACTCGGCCTTGAACTTGAAGAGTATGACTATTTATGCTCTTCTCATGTCTGGAGAGCGTCAGGAAAGGGAGATAAATTGAGCTATTTTACCAATAGGTGGCGCTCGTCTGTTGTCAAGATCAACCAATATTCTTCGCGACCAAGAAGTTAATGTTGGCGCCATTCTTCAAACTGTGTGGATAAAGAATATTTTAGAAGCGGATACAAACAAAAATTGTAAGTAACATAAAGCATATCATCTTACGCGAGCAGTAATTTTAACAATAAGGGTGTCTGATATGATATCAAAATGGAAATGTGAGGGGATGGAGGTCATTGCAGACTCTTTTTGATGAAGCCTCCTTATTACTTTTTTTTTAGGGCGGGAGGTGGGGTGGGGGGTCCAACACATTTCGTTAATTACTTATTTCTATATGGATTTGTTTTGGTAAAAAATATTTCCTATCTTGTGTAGATCTTTAAAGCTGGAATGGGTTTTTTAATAGTGTTATACCCTAAATTTATACCCTTCCCTTGATTGCTTTGTTAGAAAGTTCACTGACATTGTAACGCAAGACAAACGACTTGTATTTATGTACAAAGGAGTTCTAGCATATTAAATTTATTTGTTTATCGACAAAACAGTTTATCCGTTGACGTTTAATCACCGATCATTCCCCCCCCCCCCCCCCCGTCTTTTCTCCCTTACCCAATAACATGCAACATCACAAATCAAAACCACAAATTCCATAATTTAATGTAAGTTTATGTCCAGTTTGTTGACATGTAAACGTATAGACGTGAACTTAAAGTTGCAAAGTTTAAACCATTGTAGAATCGTTTCCTACCTGGAAAAAGGGGAGGTAATATTGAAACGGTTTAGAGTTATCTTCCTTTTGTTACAATGCTTTAATCAATAAATATTGTAAATAGTGTAATTAACAGGTTATTTGATTAAATGACTTTACAACAAAGGATATTATATAGATAAAAATACAATAAAAACATAACTTTGGTTAAGTTGAGCAAGGTATGCTCGGAAATTGACAGATGTGTTTTCTTGCACTTATAATCATTGACATATAGATCATATAAGTAGGCAGATGGTTAGTGGCTTTGTGGTCGTACGTTTGAAACCAAATTGTCGGTAGTAGAAATATTGTCAGTGACTATTGTAAGTCTAAGTATGTATAGGTAACATCATAGAAGCCGAGTAGTATTGATTATATCGTTTTCATGGGGCGTGGAAATCGAGGGCGCGGAGCGCCCGAGATTTCCACGCCCCATGAAAACGATATAACCAATAGTACGAGGCATCTATGATGTAAGCAACTTGTCGCATGTCTGATGACGTAAATTTCATTGAGAGTGTCAAAATTCAATAATAAAAAAAAGATTCATTTCAAGCTAGCTCTCCAACATGTCGGACGTTCTTAGTGAATTTGACTTTGAGTTTTTAAGTGAGTTTGAATATTTTGACAATTTATTTTTGTGCCAGGCACTCAACATATATTAAATTACAGAAACAAATAGCTAGGAGTTTAACGATAAAAAGTTTGGAGAATTTACCGTAACTTTCAAATTTTCCAAATGGATTAATCTTTTGAACGACTGGGAACTTTCAACCGAGTTAAATACATGTATTTTAATTTAGTTAAAGGCTAAGAAATAGCTATACATGTTCATTTTTCTGTGGTTATGAACTTGTGAAATAAAATCAGTTTTTTTTCTCATGACCTGATTTCTGCCTCCTGCAGTGATATATGAAGGGGCGTGGAAAGTATTATCGCATATGTGATATGGGATATATCACCACAGAAAGATCAAAGAAAATCACCGCAGATATGCGACAAAGGCTAATAATTACAACTGTGAAAGTAATTAGTATAACAGATATATCGTATATCGAACGTGTCTTAGCCAGTTGACGGGTTAGTACGAAGTGGTATATATATAGTGTAACCACGTGGCATTTGTTTAGCCATGTGGCAATTGGCGTTGGTACAGCCAAGTTGCAATCGGCATTGGTATAGCCAAGTGGCAAGTGGCGTTCGTATAGCCAAGTGGCAGGGTTTCTGTACATATCGTTTAATTATACACTAGGCAAGTGTCCTTTGTATTTGTAAATATTGCTTCAACTTGACACTAGGCAAGTGTCGTCCGTATTTGTATATATTGCATTTCTTATAATCTGTATATTTTGCATTCCATATTGTCCTCATAAGACTTGGGCATAACCAAGTACGGGCCCAAGTTAGATCGCTCGGGTCCCGCACGTTACAATATTACTACTTCCGCCCAAACTTATCGCCATTAGGTGGCCAAATTCTCGTCTGTTGTCAAGAACGACAGAACGACAGTGTTGTTCGTAACGGCAAAGTTAATGTTGGCGCCATCCTTCAATTTTCTTGTATGTAAGTAGACACTCTTATACAATACATAGGTATGGCACGCCAAATTCACAAAAATGAGCTAAACATAGTTTCACAGTCGATAAACTAGGTTTATCGGTTGTAAACTATAGTTTACGGACTGTAAACTATAGTTAACAACGTTAATATATATTTTACAGCCGTAAACAATAGTTAACGCGATAATCTATGTTTCACAACCGTAAACTATACTTAACACTGAAAACAATCATTTGCGATTGCAAAACATAGATTATCTGATAAATACAGTTTCACGATTTGTAAACTAAAGTTTACAAACCGTTAACTATAGTTAACGATCTGATAAATATAGTTTCACGATTTGTGAAACTATGATTAACAACTCTTAACTATAGTTTACGATTGTAAACTATAGTTTACAAACGTGAATCTATGTTTATCAACAAAATCTATTGTTAACGCTTATTACAGACAGATAAACTTAGATTATCATTCGTAAACTATAGTTAACAACCGTTAGATATAGTTTTACAGATGAAAACTAAACTTAACGAATCGTTAACTATACTTAACGAATCGTTAACGATAGTTTACGGTTTGTAAACTATAGTTTACAGTCGATAAACCTAGTTTATCAAATGTGAAACTAGGTTTATCTCATTTTTGTGAATTTGGCGTGCCATACATAGGACTATGATATTTGACTAGATTTTGATTAGGAGTCGATGTTAAGATGTTTTACAGTTACACATTCATCAAAGATGTCTTAGACATTGTAAAGAAAAGAAAACTAAATCTACCCACGACCACGATTACTCCACGATAGAGGAGGTCCACGGGGTGTAATTCAATATTTGATTCGTATCTGTTTTTTGTATAAATTTGAAACAATGTTTAATTAGTAACTAAGGCATACTTTTATTATGAATATTATTTCATTCAAAAGAACTCATCTTGAAAATAATGCATAACGTTAGGCTTTGTTGACTGATTTTGCCGATCAATGAATGCTTCCCTCCGTTGCGATCAAGGAATGATAGGTTGCTTCCCCTTCTCTTTAATTGGTTTTTTATTTTCTATTGTACTCATCATATCATTGTTGATTATTTATTATCAAACCCTAAAGCATAAAGAGGGGTGAAATGTACTTCCGCACAACACTTAACGCCGCTAGGTGGCTAAATTGTCGTCTGTAACGAAGAGCAACGTTGCTGTTCGAAACGGCGAAGTAGATGTTGGCGCCATCGTATGAATATTCCGTGAAATAATTGAGTTACAGGTATTTTACAGTGGGGAAGGATCATCGTTTTTGTAAGTAACACAATAAAGTGTTGTTAAATATCAATTTAATATATAATATGTCATTAAATCGATGCAAGGCACTTAACTTATTTAGTGTATGTCGGGTCGGCTTGGCAGCTTTTCAATCACTCGTTTAAGACATTGGAACCGGATTCGAGGGAAGGTAAACATCCCCTTCAACTTATTTTTCAAAGATAGACATAATAAAGGCATTGGATAATGGGTTTAGTCCCCAATAGCTTTTTAGGGGGAGGGGGTGTTGGCGGTGGTTTAGCCGCCCCCCTCTTCATTTTGCTTACGATGCTTACACTATATTTGCACTACATAGTAAAATAACGTTTTATTAAATATTTTTTGAAGAATATCTTTTATTAAATCATTTTATTTCAGTTTATCATGTTGGATGGATATTTTATTTATGATGGGTAATTTTTCATATGATAAAGCGATCATACCCCTTCATTATTACTTTGTCTCATCTGCAACAAATACTACTTGATGCTTGATGGGCATATTAAGAACCATGTATATTTATAATTCTGTAACCGTTGACGGTTTGTTCCAGATTTTTTTTCCCTTTTAAAATTACTTTTATGCACTTTGCCACTTACATAAAAATGGTAAAGGGTCCTAAGTATTTGTAGAAATAGTGAATAAATTTATGTAAACTTATAACTGCTTTAAATATATAAAGATATTTTTATTCCTTTCATTTACAGAATTATGAGAGAAAATAACAGAATTCCCTGTTACAAGAAAACAGGTAGGTGATAATATTAGTAATAACCTATACAGAAAATATGTTCTAATGAATTTAGCCATGGTTATACAGTTGTTTAACATGTATCAGGTTCAGAAGATGTCAAATCTGACCAGTCCACCACCTTTTTTTTTTTGCATGAGTCCCCTTTGCTGGCTGCTGCAATGTTACTGGATGCTGAAAAATAGATTACAATCTGTATCAAATATATAAGTTTCGTTTCAAAATTGGGTCAAAAATTTATTAAGATTATCACTATAGGAAATCTTTAAGCTAAAAAAATGGATACCAATTGCAATAGACTGATTTGATGATGGTGACAGTATTCCTTCAAGGTTGGAAGGCTTAGCTCCAAAGAAATCAGATGAACCAGGGGTGCTGGAAACTGGCACAGGTGTAAGGAATGTTCCAGCTCTCCTTGGGGTAGGGGGGCCCATGAACTCTATGGTATTCACAGGCACTTGTCTCATGTTCCTCACTATTATATTAACAAAAATGAACAGCTTGAGAATTTCACTCAGTGAATCAAGAAGTATACATGTATATATATATAAAAGAATGGAGTTGGGTTCTTGGAAAAGTCTGTGGATTTTTGATGAGAAGAGGTTAGTATTAATCAGGAACAGAGGGTACAGACAGTATATTTTGAAGCAGTTAGATTCATAATGTGAATTTGAGCTTACTTGAATCATGTTGTCTTGGACAGCTGTCCTGGGACTGGTTGGACAGGATGTCATTGAAGGAGACTGAGCTGGAGGACCGATCAGATTTGACATCTCCTGACCCTAATACATGTAAAACAACTGTATAACCATGCCTAAATTCATTAGAACACATTTTCTGTATAGGTTATTACTAGTTATTATCAATATTATCACCTACCTGTTTTCTTGTTTCCAGACCAGCCCTTTCCTCCTCTGCAAAGACCAAAGCTCCACAACAAGCTGCTCTCTCTTGATGATAAACAAGGTTTTTTTCCACCTGAGCCTCCTAAGGTAATCAGAGTCCCAGTTTATGGCAAACTTACAAGGTCCAACCTTCCAAAAGCCTCAGACCAAGAAATGCAAAGGATCTTTGATTCTTCTCTTCCTGGGATCAAAAATGATCCGTCAATAAATGTCAATGGAGTTGGAAAGCAACCTTTGAGAAAGCCCCATTTGGCTAAGCCTAATCAACAAAATGGGATGAGCCAAAAGCCTGTTGATGATGTGAATGGAGATCCACTGAAAATCCGATCTGTCACCTTCAGTGAACTTATTAAAGTTATGGAGCCTCATATATTTGCTTATCATTCTATGCAGAATGATAATGTTACGGAGACCAAAACCGAGACTCCAGCTAAGAAATCCCATGTTACAGCTGAGAAATCCCGTATTACAGCTGAGAAATCCCGTATTACAACTGAGAAATCCCATATTCCGGCTGAGAAATCCACTGATGATAGGAAGACAGCCTCTACCCAAAAGGATGAGTAAGTCGATTTGTACACTACAATGGCACATTTCAACTGTCTTAATGTTAATTTTTTTCCCTTAATTTAAGTAAAGTAAAATGTGTACCATTAACAACTAAGGACTGTAAATTTCAATACAGTATATAATTTCATGTTTGGTAAATCATTATAGGGTCACAGAGTTCTTGGATAAATTTGCTCCAAAGAAGTATGAAGCTGATATTGAAAAGCTGAGACTGGAAGCCAAAGACAGCAACAAGCTGATGCTGAAAATCCAGGAGGGAATGAGGCTAAGGCTCCTGAAGGTGGAGGACTGTCAGAAGCAGCTAGATAAAATGAAGTACTACCAGGATCTGACTGCAAGGAAGGACCTCCAAGTCGAGAGGATCAGCTCCATGGAGCAGGCTGCTAGAAATGCTGGCTGTCTGGATCAGGTGGAACCAGTCATACAGAAGGACGTCCACTTTTACAAGAGGCTTGTAGAGCAGGAGGCCATTGTCTGTCATCAGATCAATATGCTGGAGGCTGACTTTGATGCAATGCAGGCCTTGGCAGGAATACCAACTAGAACAAAGCCAAAAATCTTAAGACCCAAGCCAGACCCAATGATCCCAATTCTGAATATTCCTAAACAGGAAGGATTTACTGGCCTGCACCGTGGTAAGATGCAAGGAAACAGGCTATGTAGGAAAATCCCACCTGCTGTGATGAAAGTAGAGGTGCCATTTGATTATCACAGAGTTGTGCTGGACCAGGGAACGTCAACGTGCAACCCCCCAAAGCTCTGGATAAAAAATACAATTAACTACGAGGGCTGTTCAATAAATAATGTCCTGAACTATATGACATACATTACAGATATCATATGACATTAAACTTGACTTTCTCTCATTATTGAATCTTTCATGAATTTAAAACAGTTTATGTGACCACTTTTCATCACATCGTTTCATCGTGAGAAGCTGGGAAACAAGGGCTTTTCGAGACACTGCATTATAATTGAATGGTAAAGAATCGGTAAACTAGAGTGAAAATAAAAGCTTCATTAAAGCTGCCGTAAAACTTGTTAAAAATCCCAAAGAAATATTCACTTGAATATGTGACATTTACAGCAACAAATGCCTGTTTTATAGACAAAAGAACAGAATGATTTCATTTCAATGATAAAAAATTATATAATGGGCATCAAAAATGGGTACCCTCCTTGCCAACAAAAATTATAACAACTTATGTACTGTTCGCCAAATTTCAACAAATAATATTTGATGATGTATGATTGACTTTAAGACACATAGCAAATTTGATAGACATCACATCGGGGGTAGTTAACACTGAATTTAAGAAACGTTTGGCGGTAAAAAAGCTTGATACTCAAAGGTCACCCCATATTTTGAAAAAAATTGTGAAAACGACAAGGTGTACAAAATTCTTAACAATTATTTTAAGATACCAGAAATTGAAGTTATCCACGTTTGTTTTATTTTCAAACAGATATTGGAACATGAATCTATTGCTTAAAACCCTAAAAACAAAATTTACCATAAGATGTACTTGATAACAACGGCGAATGTCTGACAAGTACACGGGTATGCAAGAGCACAAAGACAGATTTATATGTAATTTTCTGAAATATTAATGGTATTGTTGTTCAAAATCGTATTCGGAGAGACAGCTTAATTCCTGGAGGAGTCTAGAAAGCACTTTTTTGGCCAAAAAATCAAAAGGTTTATTAGAGGAAGGACCCAGAATCAGGAATCCACTACATTGAATTTCTTCAAGACAGCGTCCAAACCCGCATGCCCTAAAGAGTAAAGGAGTTTTCGGGATAAACAGAAAGTTAATGTTTTTTCACATTAACAATATTCGCCAGATCTTTGACCTTTTGACTTGTTTCTATTTCCAAACTTGGAAAAAACACCTTTCAGAAGGAAGAAACAAGTCCGGGAAATCATTGGATCTGCCATTTTCCAGTATACCAAGGGTCAAACCCAAAAATGAGTTCTATAAACGACCAGAAATTGGATAAAAAATGTTACGGACATGTATTTTACTTAAAAGAGATTAATTAGTAAAATCATGAAGACTAAATCATTGAAAAGCGTTTTTTCCTTCTCTCTGAGCACCGAGGACATTATTTATTGAACAGCCCTCGTATAGTAATGTAAAAATACTGGATAAAAATACAACAATCTGATTAAAATCAGATCCTTTGATCCGCTCACATAGATCGCTACACAAGGTAAGGCGATCTATGTGAGCGGTAATCAAGAATCTGATTTTAATCAGATTGAAAATACAATTGACTGTAGTAATGTAAAAATAACAGATAAAAATACAATTAATGATAGTGATATACATTATTGAAGGGAGTTTGTGATCTAGTCACTCCTCCTGTAGAGGTTCATCCTGTTTGGAAGAAGGGCTGCCCCTGTCATCTTGGCTCAGAGTCTGGCATTGCTCTGTTCAGTAGCATCTTAGATTTTTGGTCCTATATCTCCTTCTGACCACAGATTATTGGTACAACACCTTCTTTTGGCTTTCCTGG